GCAGTCACATGACGACCCGACGCGCCCCGTCGCGCTGACTGATTCGCCTCGCGTCTTCCGAACCCAGGTCCCTTGCCCAGGTAACTTTTTGTGGCGGTTCGTCTCGTTCAGTGTCAGTGGCACACCACCCAATACGACCCGCCATCGTGGAAACCTTCATGGCGGCAGCCTGAACAGCTATGGAATACCCACAGTCTCCTGAACCCCCGGCGAAGAGGAGACGCTTCTTTGCCGCCTCGGACTCCGATGTGTTGAGCCATCAATCCAGCCCGGTGTTACCCACCCCACCAACGCAACCGAAGCAGCGATTTTTCCAAGATGTCGACGATCAATCGCCCCAGATCAAGAGCGAGGATGCTGAGCCCCCGTCTTCGCCCTCGAAACCACGCGGACCGCTTGTAGAACAGCCAGTCGACGATGCCTCCAACCGATCCGGCCCGTCTTCAAATATGCAGCGCGAAGAGTCCGCCATGACCTTCGACCAGGAAACCTTTGAGAGCTTCATAGGAGACAAGGTTACGGCGGAGGTGCTGGATATAATTCGGGATAGCTGCGACAATAACCTCGAGCGAGCCGTCAATATGTACTTTGATGGCACGTGGAAGAACCTCAAGAAGAAATCTCCGGCTCTGAATGCCATTTCTCGACCACCACCAGCCGCGGCCAACACCATAAAGCAAGAAATTCCCATGGAGGATACACCAAAGCCTGCGATCAGACGAACCATGCCCGAGGCAAGATATATAGGTTCCCTCGGTGTTGAGGGCTGGGCGACACGGAGCGGGACAAATCTGCTTAACCACGGCGATGTAGTCAGGATTGAGCGGCAAAAAATCCAACCGCCAAAGTCCAAGTTACATACGAAGTTCGGCGTCGCGAACGCTCCGCCGCGTGGCCCAGCTGCAAGTTCAAAGCGAAACGACGTCCTAGTGCGGTTCACAAACAGCAGCGGGTCAGAGATTGGCAGGTTGGAGAAAGAAACAGCCGAATGGGTCTCAACGTTGATGGACCAGCAGATATGCAAGTTTGAGGGTACCTGCGTATATGCCCCTGAGCGTCTGCGAACGAACGACACCGTTTTCATCCAGCTGAAGTGTCATTTGCTTGCCTCAGCATTCCATCGGCCTGGGTTCAAGGTATCAGAAAACAGGGCGACCAATTTCTTCGAGGAGAAAGAATCGACCGAGGAGAAGGAGCTTCGTCTTAGGCAGGTGGCGTTGGTGAAGCTCTTTTCCGAGATCAATCTTGAACCTACGCGAGCCAATGCCACAGCGTCCAAACACCAACGGCAAGGCTTGCTGCAGGCTGCAGAGATGGATGAGAAAAAGGAGAAAGACACTCCCAAGACAACCGATCGAGCACCCGGGTCTTCGCCCCCTTCAGACGAGCAAGAGGAGGGTGAAGAGCTGGAGCAAGACCAGCTTGATGCCCTTTACCGCAAGGCCCAATCATTCGACTTTAACACACCCGAAGCGGAACCTGCCGATACCTTTGCTATGAACCTGAGACCCTACCAGAAGCAAGCGTTGCATTGGATGATGACCAAGGAAAAGGACCAGAAGAGCAACAGGGAGCCAAGCATGCACCCTCTGTGGGAGGAATACACATGGCCACTCAAGGATACGGACGAAAAGGAGCTTCCTCAGGTTCACGACCAGCAGCATTTCTACGTCAACCCATACTCGGGAGACCTTTCTCTCGATTTTCCTGTTCAAGAGCAAAACTGCCTCGGTGGTATCCTAGCCGATGAGATGGGTCTCGGCAAGACCATCCAGATGCTCAGTCTAGTCCACACCCACCGCTCTGACGTCGCGCGGCAAGCCAAGGCGATGGGTAGTGTTCCTACGTCCGTCAATGAGCTTCCAAGGCTTGCCTCCAACTCATCGAGCGTGCTAGATGCGCCTTGTACAACACTCGTCGTGGCACCAATGTCATTGTTGGCGCAGTGGCATAGTGAAGCTGAGAAGGCCTCAAAAGAAGGCACTCTCAAGGCCATCGTGTACTATGGCAACGAAAAGGCCAATAATCTTCAGGCCGTATGTTGTGCCGCGAGCGCAGCGTCTGCGCCTGATGTGGTCATTACCAGCTACGGTGTGGTGTTGTCAGAGTTCAACCAAGTTGCGGCTAGAAAGGGTGACAAGTCGTCTCATACCGGACTGTTCTCGCTCAACTTTTTCCGCGTCATTCTGGATGAGGGCCATCACATCAAGAATCGACAGTCAAAAACTGCCAAAGCGTGTTACGAAATATCTGCCGAACACAGATGGGTGTTGACTGGAACGCCAATCGTCAACAAGCTGGAGGATCTGTTCAGTCTGGTTCGCTTCCTTCGTGTGGAGCCTTGGAACAACTTTTCGTTCTGGAAGACTTTCATCACTGTCCCTTTCGAGTCCAAGGACTTTATGAGGGCACTTGACGTGGTGCAGACCGTGTTGGAGCCTCTAGTTCTCAGGCGTACCAAAGACATGAAGACGCCCGAGGGCGAGCCGTAAGTGAATGCACCCTGGATTGTCACACCTTAGCTAACCCTTGGAAGACTGGTACCCCTTCCACCGAAACATGTTGAAATCGTTGATGTCGAGCTCAGTCAGACCGAACGAGAGATTTACGATTACATCTTTACGAGAGCCAAGCAATCGTTCAGAGAGAACGTCGAAGCAGGCACGGTGATGAAAGCGTTCACTAGCATTTTTGCCCACATTTTGCGCCTACGACAGTCTTGTTGCCACCCGGTTTTGGTACGAAACAAGGAGCTCGTCGCGGACGAGGTAGAAGCTGGAGCTGCAGCTGACATGGCTGCCGGTCTTGCGGACGACATGGACCTAGGTTCCCTGATTGAACATTTCACAGCAGCTATATCCGAAACAGAGTCCAACACAGCTGCTTTTGGAGCCCATATCCTCGGCCAGATCCGCGACGAAGCCGAGAGCGAGTGTCCGATCTGCGCCGAAGAGCCCATGGTCGAGCAGACGGTCACTGGTTGTTGGCACTCTGCTTGCAAGAAGTGCCTTCTGGACTACATGAAGCACCAAACAGATCGGCATAAGGTGCCGACCTGCCCCAACTGTCGAGCCGAGATCAACTATCGCGACCTATTTGAGGTTGTTCGCCACGACGACGACCCGGACGTGTTCAAGAAATCCAAGATTAGTCTACAGCGCTTGGGTGTGAATAACTCCTCGGCCAAGGTCGTGACTTTGATCAAGGCCCTGCGTGACCTGAGAAGGGAGCAGCCGCGGGTCAAGTCTGTTGTCTTCAGCCAATTTACATCGTTCTTGACACTAATTGAGCCTGCTTTGGCACGGGTGAACATTAAGTTCCTCCGCCTCGACGGATCCATGGCGCAGAAGGCTCGCGCGGCGGTCCTGACTGAGTTCCAAGAGTCAAAGACATTCACCGTGCTGCTCATCAGTCTTCGTGCTGGTGGCGTGGGGCTGAACTTGACGTCTGCGAAGAGAGTGTATATGATGGATCCTTGGTGGAGTTTCGCAGTTGAGGCTCAAGCGATTGATCGTGTGCATCGCATGGGCCAAGACGAGGAGGTTAAGGTCTACCGCTTCATCGTCAAGGGGAGCGTGGAGGAAAGGATGCTTCGGGTACAGGACCGGAAGAAGTTTATGTGAGTTGACCCATCCGGTGTGCTGGATGACCGAGTATTTGCTGACTTGATACCCTTAGTGCTACGTCTTTAGGAATGATGAGCGACGAGGAGAAGAAGCTTGCGCGGATCGAGGACATCAAGGAGCTTCTCAGCTAAGGGGAAAGTCTCACGTAATGGTTCTCATGGCTGGCATATGTGCATTTACAAGGCGTCGCTGGGGAAAAGTGCCTAGGATGGCATGATCAATGATAAACATAGTGCCCCTAGTGCTAGGCACCGGTGGAAGAGGCGGTCCAGCACGAACTTGCCGGTAACACGGCGCAATTATTGTCAAATGGACATATTCAAACCAGTCTCTTGTGTCTGTCAATGAAGGGTATGCAGAAGTGTCAAGCATTATGCTAGGTTTGACGTCTCAGAACGGCCTATGAGCGAGCATGACATTACTCTCAGTGTAGCACCGAAGCACTTGCCCAGAGGATGAGGTCTTGATGATGAAGGAGGTTTTGGACACCGCGATATGAAGATAATTATTCATGACAGTCGTTTCCAAGTTGAAGAAGCGTTCGCAGTTTCACCTCCAGCTGACCATCGTGTACGGCTGTTCCTTCACATACCTACGCGGTAAGGCCGAAAGCACAAATATTCGGAGCTTCAATAACCACCAAAGACCTCTTGGACTTTGGAAGCAAACCACGAATAAACACAGAATCAGCCAAAAGTTCACATGCAATGTCTCTTAGGCAGCGAAACAACTTTTCCGACGATAACCCGCTTTTCCCCGGGTTGCCTCACACGCTGCGCCTAGTCTGTGACTCTGTCGCTGTCACCTCACTCGCTCATTTAGTCACCACCAACAAAACAATCAATCACACTGCCCAAAAACAAAAACTGAGCCACGCTGAATCCGCACCAGACCGCGGGTCATTTCGAAAACAGAGAAAGTCATTTTACCCTCTGCCTGCAAAGAGTTGGAAAGAGCGACCGACTGACTACTTAATACTCACCAGTTCTCTTCAGCGCCTGAGTGCTACTGTCTCACTTGCACACAGGCAGACGGACACTCAATCACATGAGAAAACACCATCACCACATGACCAATAACCACCCGCGCGACTCGCCGTGCCACCAACGACCAAGCTAAGAAGCTTTAACCCGCAAGCTACTGAAGTGGAAAAATAAAGTCGAAGAGGGCCTCAGAAAAGAAAAAGAAGAGCGATTCATTTCCTCTTTTCTCACTTTTCCCTTTTCATTCTTTTGCACCCTTACTATCCGAGAGTGATTCACTTACACCACTGAGCGCTCACTCTTTACAACTTTCACACTCGCTCAACTCACATTTTACCACATTCGCACAACCAGCACAAGGAAACCCAATGCATCCCGATCCCCCGTGGTCATGGATGGCTTACTACGCACACTGACACGCTCCCGCAACACCGCGCCGTCCCCGAACCGCGGCAGCCGCAATCGCAACCGACACAGCGGCAGGGGCGGAGGCGGAGGCGGCAATAATCACGGCCAAATCGAAATCATTATCGAAACCCTCGCTCGAGGACTCGTCGAATATGCAGTACAAAAGTACATGAAGAAGCTGAGCGGCGGCGGCGGCGATGAAGACAAGAATGGAGGAGGACACAGAAATGACCGGCGCCTTAGCACACCCAAAAACCATGGCCACGACGAAGACGAGCGCGCTAGAGGCGGCGTTCCGAATATGGACATGGAGATGCTGGAGCACCTGGGCAAGAACATCTTTTCCAAAGCTATGGAGCGCTTCGGTGGCGGGGGAGGGGAGGACGATGAAGAGGAAGACATGAGGCGGAGACATGGCAAGGGACGAAGAGGCAGCCGAGACCGCGATTCATACTCTCGTGGACATTCGCAAGATCGCTCTCACGGGAGACGACACGGCAGTGGTGGCAAAGACGATGACCGTGACCGGAGAAGGCGCCACAGCCGCGACAACGGGTACCCTTCACACGCACCCGGCTCGCCCTCCTCGCCGTCAAGACACCATCGCGGCGATGACGATACCCACCGCCGCCGCCGACGCGGATACGGGACCGACTATGCGCCGCTGAAAGAGGAGATGGAGACGTTATCCAACACGCTCATCTCTTTGAACGAGCGACAGCCCGGACACGCCGACTGCGAGTTTTACGATGCGTTTATGGAGCGCTCGGGCAAGGTGCAAGAGGCTATAGGGTCTGTTTTGGTGCAGATTCGGGAGAGGGAGGAGAGGAGGGAGGAAAGGCGCGGTCGGCGGAGGGGTTGAGGGGGAGGTTTCTATGTTATGTTTTCCTCAGAGGAAGTGCGTATATGAGATACCCAGTTTCTCTTTTCCGTACATAGATTGATGAGCGATGATTTCGACGACGGCTTGGAATGGCAATACCCAGTAGCACGGAGGCAATACCCGGACTTCTCTTGACTTTGAATTTTCGGCAGCGGTGTGGTCGAAGGGGTGGATGGACGGCTAAATGTGTGGTTTGTAGGATAAAGTAGAATCTAGAATAATTGCAGCCTCCCTCCCGTCCCGTCTTATTTGCTACCTGAGCTGCCGCAAGCACGTGTTTGGGATGCAGAGGTCGCAGAGTCAGCAATGGCCAGCTTGTATCGTAGACGCAAACGCAAACATGGCTGGGTACCGAGCGTGCGGTGGCTTGATGAGAGTGCTACGTTGTACTGCCTCATTCGATTGTTTGGAATTTACTTTCTGGGGATCGTGAAGGCGTGCCTGAAACAACCTCTTTTCGAGACTGCGTGAAGAGATAGATTGTCGTGACCGGTTGTCGTGGGTTTACCGCTTGCTTCGCTATTTCCAAGTGTCTCATTGTTCCTCCTTAAGACATAGCTTGGGGCAAACTGGCTTTTGTAGATCAACGATGCTAACAAGCTTAGAAGAGGTCAAAAATGATTCATACAACTATAGTCACTTCTCCCTCTGAGTGGAATGGGGAAAACGAAATAGTCATGGCGATGCTAGAACAGCGAACAAGCCGATGACTAGAACACGAGAAACGGCACAAACCAGCTGAGGCCAGACCTCGGCCGCCCCTGACATGGCGCCAATACCAATATCCCCAGTCCCGGCAAGTCATTTGGTGCGTCGTGGCGAGGAAGGCAGAATAGCAGGAATGCTCATCGGCTGTCTCGTCGGAGGCCTGGCTGCCGTGAGCCTCATATACTTCTGCTTCAACTGCGTTTTCTCTCCCAAGCCGCGGAAAAAGATGGACCATCAAGTACAGCATGTCCACCCTCACAAGCCTCCTATACATAAATCTCATATCCATCACGTACATTCGAAGCCTGAAATGGATGCCCACGTACATTCTGCCCGTCACCCGCACGTCCATGGGTGGACGCATCGTCATCACCACCACCATCATAAACACGGCCATCAGCATCACCATGCCAAACGAAAGGCGAAGCCCAAGAAGACTTGCAAGAAAGCAAAGCGGAAGGCCAAGGTGAAGTCTAACCGCAGGAGTAAACATTCTTCGCAGCCTCGAGAGCCTACGATACGATTCATGCCTACGCCTCCCATGACGGCTATGCCCATGCATCCAGCTCCGGTAGCTGGTATGGGAATGGGAATGGGAATGGGCATGGTTCCCGGTATGGACTTGCCGCTGGGCGACGGCTTCATCGACTACGGGCCGGCGCCTGGCCAGGATATGGGATTAGAAATGGGATGGGGCGTAGACCCCAACTTCCGGCTGGAGCAGTTCGCTACGGAAGACGATATACATGGTGACAGGGAGGTGACTTGTAACGAGTGCTGCTACTCGTTCTTTGATTCTTTGTGCGGTATCCCGCCGGAAGCTCGAGATCTGAGAAGGGAGGCCGCTGGTAATGGAGCTGCGATTGTGAATGACAATGAGATGGAGGCTGTGTAACTGTACAGTGATGAAGCCGGTCTCCCGAGGGAGGCATGTTGGGAGGTTCGGCCCTTCTGAGCAAGAAGGCGAGTGTTCCAAATACTGGTTGGAGGTTCAAAGGCAAGACCAAGTTCATATAGAACCAAGAGATACATAAGCCGAGCTGCTTTAGACACAGACCAAAACAACAATCATCGATTCAAGATTATACACACCGCAAACGTACAACACTGCTGGGTTCAATAGGAAAGATAGTGGCGCCTGGGTTCGCCTTGGAAATTTCATTCGCCAACTCCCGCTCCGAACAAATGTCAAATTCTGCATAATACAACTCACGTCAGGTCATGGAATCCTTCTTTCATGTCAGTTTGTTGAAGCTTTATAGTGAAGGACACAATGTACCTGAGACTTTCTTTTACAAGCCCTCTCCCTAGTATTGAGTCTCGCCCGGGGTGAGGGTGTAACACCCACCCAAGACTACTTCTCAGCTGGGGCATCAGCTGGAGGGTCGGCGGGAGGGTCGGCTGGAGCATCGGCCGGCGCGTCGGCAGGGGGATCAGCAGGCGTGGCAGAAGGGGCGGTAGAGCGTGGCGCGGAGGGCGGCCCTCGAGGAGGTGGATGAGAGGCGGGGCCGTCGTCGGCCGAGCTCTTTGAGCTCCTTGAGCTGTAAGACTTGTGGGAGTGATGGCGTCGGCGACGACGATGTCGACGGCGACTGATCTTTTTGAGAGACACTCGGTAATAGTAGAGAAAGGCTCCAGCGCCCAGAATGAATACGAGGATGGCCACCCCCACCGTGACACCAACGGTCAGGTTGGTGGTCTGTCCACCTGATATCGAGACCTGTCTCTTTGTGACGGTATTGTAGTGTTTGCCTGCACGCGCTGCCACCTCAAAACCGGGGGAGCGAGACTCTGTCTCAAGACCGAAGCTTCTCGGCACTCGGCCATTGAGGGGTTGGGGGATATACATTCAGTATCCGGGGAAAGATAGCCGGTGATGTTGTTGAGTCGAATAATAGAAGATATGAATGGTACAGTAATGATCAAAGTATCACAATAGAGGGAGATCGGAATCGTACGAAAAGAACAGTTTGTGACATGGTGAACGTGGAAGCAGAGAAAGAAGAACAACCTGCGTAGCAGATAGGGTGTCAAAGGTCCACGAGACATATTTAACCTCAACATCCCTTGGGCTGCTATGGATGAGATGATGGGCAAGATGGACGGGGGTCACTGACGGTGTAAGGTAGCTGGCAGCTCGCCTGGGTTGAAGGAGGTTCCGTGGTGAATCCGAGAGGATAACACAGGGGGCGCATATGCAAGAGTGGCATAGTGCAGCGAATGCGGAGGAGAAATAGAAGAAGAAGGGAGTGTAAGACTGTATATCCGCATCGAAGGAGCAGCCGAAAAACGAAGGCATTCTCCAGATGCAGCAGACTCAGGAGCAGGCTGGGCACGATTATGCGCGGTCCATGCAGCTGCCAAACCAATGAACCGGTGGTAGGCGTGGCGACGGTCCCCTACCGCAGCAGTTCCCGCACTCGTCGGGCCGCTCGTAGCCCAAAAGTAGTCTCTCGAAGCTATTGCTGATGGTGTCGTGGGGGGTCACTTTCCGCCAGTCACATTAGGTGAGGCTTTCGTCTCCCACTCTCCTGCAATGGGCTGATGGCCTCCTGCTGATGGCGGCGACTGCACTGGTTGGTCTTGGTCTGGCTGGATCGTCTTCTTCTTCTTCTTCTTCTTCTTGAAGGCTTGGTAGTCGCCCCTCCAGAGCGTTCTTTTGCGTTACCGGACGTGATAAGTGAGCAAAGGGCGGTGCGGTTGGAGGCAAACACGGAGATCGCAGTTGGCTGGTTGGGCATCAAGACCACCAAGGGGTCAATTGGTACCCGCCGCCCTGGTGAGCTCGCGATCGAACACGTTGACAAGTGCCAAAGGCTAATTGAGGCCTGTCCGGAGTAGGCAGCGGGGCTTGCGGGTGTTCCATCGTGGGAAAAAGGCGAGTCGGTGACGGGGGAATGTCAATGGATGGATCTCACGATGGATCCTGTCCACCTCGTCTTCTGCTGCCATCAGTGAGTTGCGAAGTACGTACAGCTCAAGAACTGCCTCGGTTGCTCAGCTAGAAGACCTGGGGACCTTGAGGGGCTGGCTTACTTAATTGGACCGATGACTCAGCTGCTCCTCCACCTCCCGCCTCTTCTTCCTCAAGTACACCTTTCCAACCCATTCCATCGCACCCTCTTCATTGCGACTACGGAACGAAAACATCACTCTGGTTCTTCCAGCCAAGCCTCTCGCTTCTTGGGCCTGAATCGTCTAGGATTCCCTCATCAGGAAGTAAACCAATCAAAATGGCCGTCCTGGGCCGAACAGACAGGGCGAACTGGCAGCGGTCTCCCAGCCAGTCGGCCTACACCACGAGCCGCCGTGCAGCTGCATCCTGCAGTCGTCTACAATCTCTCGTCTTTGGCCCAATTGGGCATCACACTCTGCCGCCAAACGACATTTGGAACTGTGGTATCGTCACCTGGATACCATGAAAGAGATTCTGAGCAAGTGCCATGTGTCTTCCATGCACAATGTCTTGCAGCTTGGACCAGAACCCAAGGGGCACCTTCTCCTTACGCCGGGGGCATTGTGCTGTGACTTGGCAGAAAGAGCCATTGCTATTGTCATTTTCCACTAATACGCAAAAGTCGTGACTTCTCCCTTTGGACTCGCATTGTCTTTGACGAGTTCGAATAGTTCTGCTGCCGCAACCGACCGCCAATGTAGACGGCTCTAGATCTTCCCAACCGGGATGTTTGGTATCACCTACTACTTTTCAAAGTGTCAAAGAAAGGGGTTGTCGTTGGCCTTTGTTGACTTCCCTCAATGTAGTAGCAATGCCTGAATATGACTCGAGGTTCTCTCGACCCTCAGACCATGGGCCGGATGCTCAGCCCAGCAGCAACTTATGGCTATACCATGTCATCACCGTTATCCTTCTTAAAGAGACAAAACAACCAGACTACCCTTGGCTTGACACTTTTGTCCTTTTTATGCTAATCTTTGAGTCTTGCTGACGGACTGCTCGACATTGTCGCCACCCTCACGTTTACCATGTGTATCCTTCTCACGAGAAACTTTAGATGTTTTCCGGGGGGAAGGTTTTCGCGGCATACCTTCCAGTACATTATTCGATGCGCCAGCCCGAGATACGCCGAGTGTCTAGACCCGAAGGCTCTGGCCAAGCAATCCGAGGTGTATGATATTGCCTGTCACGAATGCACCGGCAAATTCCTTCAGCCCTTCACCAAACCGAAACGACTTACCGAGAGTATGGTTGATGAGAATTGCATAGAAGCACAAGCAGCCACTGAGCAATATGTCAAATCCATGGTCGAATTCCTCAATATGGCATTGATGGATGCGGGACAGCGACTTCCGACTAGAGTTGAAGGAAATGCGGATGATCAATTTGTCAATCGAGTCAGCAAAATCGAGACAGCCTGCCGCTTCAACAAGGACCATGTCGAAAATGGTCCCTACTGCGAATGCTTGGAAACAGACGATGCCACCAAGGAGTTCGATACAAACAGGATCACTGAACTTCACAACAACGCTGCGGCTATGCGGCGAATTGTCTCCCAATCATATTTCTTCCCTTGGCGAGGGTTCTGGCCCGGTGCCAACACCGGCAATCGACTCGCGGATGAATTTAATTATCGATTGTTAGCCCACACCCGGAGGCCGGCCAACGATGGAGAGCTCGATCCAGATTTTCCATCTGTCGAACAGCACACTGAATCCCACCGTCAACAGCCCGACTTCACTTTTTTAATCAACCTTGGCGACCGTAAGCCTCACGAAAGCGAGCAAGTCACGGTTGTGCCTGTTCTGAAAAGCGCCCCTGATATCATGGACCGAGTAAGAGTTCTTACGGCTCAACTGACAGAAAAAATCGATTCGTTCGGCGGGAGAGACGAGTGGGAACGCTCTCTAATTAACTCGTTTTGTGCACCATTGTTCGCTGACTTTGTCGCGGCCAACTTTGATACGCGCATGCAAGTTTCCAACCTTGTTGCGCATCTCCTGGCCCACGATCCAGGACTGACGAGGGCACGAATCGCTTCCATCAGCCGAATATTCCTTGAATTCTGGCACGTCGACACAGACGTCATGAGGGCCAACCTCCCCCAAGACCTAGGCACACTATTTGTCAGCCTGTTCAAGTGGAGTGTAGTGTCCATTACCCAAAGGGGCTCTATGGGATTCCGGAGTGGTGCGTACGCAGGTGGCATGCTCACTAGCCCTGGCCACTACAAGCATACCGAGTATATCCTCCTACGCAACGCATCTTTGAGGTTTAAAGACGAGTTCTCCAGACAGAGCCTCCTCGAGAGTGCGGTCGCACCGCTCAGGGAGGCGGAGCTTCGGAAACTGGACGACACGGACTGTTTTATCTGTATGGAGCCTCTCGGTACAGGGCGAGATCCGCACGCAGCTGTGCGCGTTAAATGCCCCTCGGAGAACCACGTGGTGGGGAAGAACTGCTGGATGAAATCCCATCGCCGCAGATCGAAATTCGACCCGAGGGAGCTGAAGTGCCCCTTGTGCTCGGACTTCGTGCTGGGTGAGTGGAAGATGCCGTTCAATAGCACGGAGCTTTGGGCTTGGGATCTGGTTCGGAAGACCGTGCCGCAGCTGCTCGAAGAGATGGGTCCTTCAGGTTATGCTGAGCTTTAGAATGCAATATGAGTAGTGCTTTATGGTGTTTGTCATGTTTGGTTTTGGTTCGGACATGTTGTAGTCACATGTTGATGCACATAAGACGTTTGTATAATAGCACTCTGTAAGCTAGGTAGACATCATAGGTCGCTCGTATACTACAGTACTGTTTCATCCATAGTTGGACGGTAACACGTCTCTTGACAACACATGTCGTATCCCAGCCCAGCCATGTTGACACTGACGGCGGCAGCACATAATTGCGAAGCATGAACTAATCTCTAGCTGATAGTCAGTTTCCATGTTCGGTTGGGGCATGGATGATGGAAAACTTTTCGTTTCATGCCCCAAGACCTTGAGCAACAACCAAGCCCCTCACTTCTACAGAATTAGTATCTCGAACAAACGACCCGGCCGAGCTTCTTTGACTGATGATGGTATCGTACCGGATGAGGGAGCTACAAACAATCATTGTAAGTGTCCCTTTTTCCTTGTGCGCTCCCCCGCAGTCGAAGCTTGTAATGTGGCATGTTATATAAGTAATGTCCCATGAAGAGTCTTCCTACTTATCTCGAGCATCTTCAAATCATTCACATTTCCTCTCTTCATTCTTTCCAGTCAGCTTCTTCTCCCAGTTCCCAGCCCTGAGTCCAGCCTAAATCTCCTGAGACCTCCTCATCAGCCCCTCAAACCGTCCACCAGTACCGTAATGTACGTCTCCTCCCCCCGCCGCCGTCGCGCTCCAAACCCAATCCGCATCCGCCACCACGCAAACAGCCCCCTCCTCGCCGGCCGCAGCCCCGCGCCCTGGACGCCAGACCACCCGGTTCCCCCGACCCTTTCGACAATAGCGTCCCCGGACTCCGCCGATACCCCGACGTTTCCCGTGAGCCCTCCATCCGCGACAGTTTCGACATGTAAGACATTATGGGATACCGTTCTAGAGCGTACTTCCAATAAACCGTTCTCGGAGACAGCGGATCCGGGTTGGGGGGATCAGTCGCCGTACCCCTCTACGGAGGACTCGCCAGCATCAGCAAGCTGGAGGGTTGCCGAGCTGGAGCGGGCGGAAGATAGCCTCGGCGCGGTGACGCCTGGTGGTGGGATTAGTCCTGGTACTGTGGGTATTCCGAGGACGCCTGCCAGTACACCCGTTGCTGGGCGGGCTGGGTCTGCGATTGCTGTTGGTAGAAGAGGAGGCGTGTCAAAGTTGAGGAGGATTATGTATTCTCCTGGGTTGCCTGTTTCGCCGCCGCTGCGATGGTGGAAGGGTGAGGGATATAGGCCGGTTCGTGGGGCTGATGGGGAGGATGAGAGTGGGAGTGGGAGCGGTAGTGATGGTAGCGTGAATCCTGGGTTGAAGCGAGTGAAACTCCAGCGGAAGGGAACACTGCATTTGAAGACGTGTGTTTGTCATGGGGGTGGTCGTGCGGTATCTGTCCAGTGGTGGAAGTATGCCCTGGTTGTTTTGCTGGTGGTCCTCATCTTTCTGTATGTTTCCTGGAAGGAGTGTATCTGAGAGCGTTGTCAGTAATCTCATTCTTGCATTTCTCTGAGCGAACTTGGAGTTGCTGGATATCTAGAGCGGTGGATATGGGATGACAGGTAGGGCTGTCTTGACGAGGTAAGATGGACTAGAACCAAAGACCGTTGCTATCTCTGGAACCTTCTCTGGCCCTCAAGGTCTTGGTTCTTTCTCCGCGAAGCTCTCGTGGATGTGTGCCCGGGACTGACCAAGGCGCTTTCCCGTCCCGGCAAGGTTAGACATCTATGAGGAAGGCACCAAGGTCCTCTCCTCCCCGCGAACCGACGCCTCCTACCTTACTTATTCGAAAGAGCCACTGATCCTTCCATCAGCGGACACCCAGCCCATCATTGAGTGCGTGGCTCAATTGGGTGGCGGACAGGGTAAAAACATACTCGTGCTAGCAGGTCCTCCGTGAAACCTGGCGAGCGCTCTTGTTCGAAGCCCCTTGCAGGCAAAGAGCGTTGAACAGACCCCCCGGTCTGTTCGTTTTTTTGTTTTTTCAACATTTTGTATATACTTCTGTTGACTTCTTTGATTCAGAGAATTTTGCTGGTTCTGACGATTCGTTTCCACGTGGTTTCACGTTTGTAGCTGCTCTGCTGGTGGAGGTACGGACCTCGGAAGTGTGACGATGCTCTGATTTGCCTGTATGAATAGGGGAAGTAAAGCTGTTACATTGAAGTAGGGACTAGCATTTGAATTGGGAAGGTCTGTTACATCTACCTGCCTACGTACCCAGAGCGGACATGTTAATTCTCCTCGTCTCAATCATAACACTCGCATTTTGCCATACTACGATAGTCACCCCGACCTCAGCCACGACTTCACCACGGCTTTGCAGAGATTCAGACCCCTATTGAAGCATCATTTAATTACATCAGCTCTCAAACAATGACAGACCTACATACCCGCCATTTCTCCCACATCGGAGGTAACTCCAGCGAACTCCTCGACCGTCTCGCCGTTTCTGAGCTCTGCAAAGGCTGGCCTGTCTACCGCGATGCAAGCGAATGGGCCAACTACCGCTCCCTCTTCATCAAGGATGCCTACGTTTGGACCAGTGCGTTGAATCACTAAGGCCCTTCCCACGATGCTTCTACTCTCAGAAGTATCTTGCTTGCCCCTGAAGCTAACGCCATATGGCATGTCACAGCTTGGAGCGGCGCACAGCCCATTGACGACTTCATTCGCATGTCCATCGCGGGCAAGTCGTCAGGGGCCTCCATCATGCACCGTGAATGCGGCACTCTTGTTGAGCTGAAACCAGATACGGGCCGCGCCGTGGGCAAGATGAAGGCCACCATTACCCAACGCTTCAAGCACCACGACGGCTACGAGTACGACGTCGACTGTGACTGTCGGTTCCTCTTTTTCTATGAGAAGACGAAGGGAGAGAGAGGTGATGGTATCGAGAGGGATGAGAAACACTGGAAAGCTGCGTACGTCAAACTTATATATGAAAAGGACAAGATTGTACCCGTGGATGGGGCCAGGGCACCAGTCTTCGCGGACGAGGTGCTGGCTAGGTATCCTGCGGAATACAGATACCTCGGAGCTGCGCAGAGTACTTTGGGGTACGAGATTGATGCCAAGCTTATCACGGGAGAGGACGAGAGGGCTTGCAGCAAGATGTACCAGAGTATGGAGAGGTGGTTGGAGGGGGAAGATGGTCCGGTTGGCCTTTTCGAGACTTGAAGAATCCTCGACTTCAAGATGCAAGTAGATGCTTGAGGCCTGCGACCATGTCTTGGGCCGGGAGCTTGGCCTCTGGAGTTCGACCTGAAAGAAGCCATCATGTATAGACCCTGGGTATGCTCGACATAGCGTATAGGAAACAGCCGTTATAGAGAACATTCACATGCTATTACTACGTACACATCATTCAATATGGTCGTTGAAGTAGTGCAGGATGCTTGCATATCCTTGCATATCTCTCCCTAAGGCGTGCATGATATGGCGATTAGCTAAGCGCGCATGGCGCCATGGCGGACGGGGTGGCGGATTCAGCTGTTAGATTTGTTTCTTCTTGGAACATTTCACCGACCCAAGACATGAGCTGGTTTGATTCCGAATGTCTCACCCATGATCGGGCAAGCGGGTAGGGTCCTGGCAAAGACTGACGCAGCTCACACGAGAGAGGAATGTTGGCGATCGCGTAGTGGCGTTGCGTTGTGTTCTATTTGTGCGTATCTACTGCGTGGCCGTGTCCATTGGCGGTCCAGGCTTCGGCTGTCCGGCGTCACCAAGGGATCGATGCAGTTACCAGTGTAGATATGAGAATAGTCAAGAGAGAATGTTGAGTGGACAGCGTCATGCATGCAGGCGTGACAATGGGCGGGAGTCCAGGCACAGCGCACAGAATAAATATTGAATATCCGTCAGTGGAGGTACGTTATACGGGCTGATGACAGCGAAAGATGCAAGCAGAGATGCATAGATGATGGGACGACATCGGCGAAGAAGGAGCAATCCGGTGTCAATGCATGGTCCGTTCTTTTCCACCAAGTTCCCCCTGCGTCAGCCAAAGCGTTGGTTCGTCCAATGGGGACGCTTCAGGTGCATGCATTGGCTGAGAGATCTTCAGGTCCTTGAGGATTGAGGAAGTTCAGGTGCCTTCCAGCACAAGTGGCAGCGCAAGTGGCAGCACAAGTGGAGGCGGCCCCAGCGGGCTGGCTGCTAATGCCAGGTACCTACCCGATGTACCTACTCATGCCTGGTGGTGCCTGGTTTTTTCCCCCCATCCACTGCCACCTCAGGTTCCAACTTCGCCAGGCCTCGATTGCCAGGTTTCCACGTATCGATTCAGCCCCGGAAAACAAACTTGGACACCTCGGTGGAGCCACCGCCCTGAAGGTCAGGTCTTCGAGTCTCCCCTGGAACTTAGGTGTGCGGTGTTGTGAGCCCTCACGTGATGTACATATGCAAGTGAGGTACCCAAGTACCCCGTACCCCCGGGCTCTCCTTAATTTCGTGACGTGCCAATACGACCGTCATTGTTTTCCTCCACTCTTTTCTTCTCTCTCCTCCTTCACTCCACTCCTCTTTTGACTGTGACCCCCGTCTTCCCTCCTTTTGTGTTTTATAGACATCTTTGTCCCACCCGTTGTCGATTCCTCCTTTGGACCTGTTCACTCTTTCACTCTTCCCAGTCATTCTTTTTGGTCCACGACAACCACCAACTCACTACACTCTTTTGTTTATTATAGTCACAGCCAAAGAGTCTCGGAACAACGACAAAAAAGGCCTTCCCCAGTCCGCCCTTAATTACCACCCTGGGACCCTTTTCCTCTGCTCGACGATTTTATTATTTCGACCGTTTCTTAACACATTAATCCAATCAAAATGAAGGCCTCCATCTCTCTCGCTGCCCTCACTGCCCTGGCGGCCACCGTCGAGGCTCAGAACTACCTCGGCTTCAACTCTGGTGCCACCAAGGCCGACCGCTCCGCCAAGTTCAAGGCCGACTTCGAGGCCGAGTTCAAGACTGCCCAGGGCCTCGAGGGTGCTCCCGGCGACTTCAACGCCGTCCGCCTCTACACCAACATCCAGGCCTACTCCACCCAGGACCCCATTGAGGCTTTCGAGGCTGCCATCGAGACCAAGACCTACATCCTTCTCGGTATCTGGACCTCCGGCACCGACAACATTGACAAGGAGATCAATGCCCTGAAGACCGCCGTCACCAAGTACGGCACCAAGCTCACCGACCTCATCATCGGTGCCTCCATCGGTTCTGAGGACTTGTACCGCAACTCCGTCACCGGTGTCAAGAACAAGTCTGGTGTCGGTGCGGACCCCAAGACCCTCGTCGGCTTCATCAACGACTTCAAGACCGCCTTCAAGGACACCCCTCTGTCCAAGGTCTCCATCGGCCACGTCGACACCTGGGATGTCTGGGGAAACTCCACCAACAAGCCCGTCCTCGACGCCGTTGACTGGGTTGGTGTTGACGAGTACCCCTACTACGAGAACGACAAGGGCAACACCATCGACAACGCTGGTTCCCTCTTCGACAAGGCCTACGATGCCACCGTCGCCACCGCTGGCGGCAAGCCCGTCTGGGTCACCGAGACCGGCTGGCCCGTCACCGGCGAGACTTGGGACCAGGCCGTTCCCAGCGCCAAGAACGCTCAGAAGTACTGGCAGGAGGTCGGTTGCCGCAAGCTCTTCAACAAGGTCCCCACCTTCTGGTACAACCTTCGCGACTCCAACCCCGACAACTCTATGAAGTTCGCCATCACGAAGGACCTGTCCACCACCCCTCTGTTCAACCTCACCTGCCCCACCACCTTCGACACTCCCTCCAGCACCAAGACCGCCTCTGCCTCCGGTACTGCCACCGCTAAGCCCAGCGCTTCCTCTGGCGCCAGCTCTGGCTCCGGCAACAGCACCAGCGGCGGCTCCGGCTCCGGCTCCGGCTCCGGCTCTGGAAGCGGCTCTGGCAGCGGTTCTAACTCGACCGTCTCCACTGCCGCTCCCTCTGCCACCTCCGGTTCCGGCTCCTCCGGCAGCGGATCCGGCTCTGGATCCAGCGCCAGCAGCACGCCCTCCGCGGTTGCTGGCTCTGGCGCCGCCGGCCTCCAGGCCTTCACCACCGGTGCTCTGGCCGTCGTTGCCGGCGCTTTCGCCCTCCTCTACTAAGAGGCGCGAGGAGAGTAGTGCACTCACTCGTCTTGTGGTCAAATTTTTCTAGCGCATTGGCAAGGTGTCTTTTGATTCCCCCTTCTGGACATGTGTTTTTTTCGGTATCATAATCATGGATAGATCGAGGATAGACTGATGGAGAAAAAATGTGATTAATCCATACACTCATTATCATTTCAAATGCCCGGTGACTCTGTGACACTTGACGAATATCTTTCTATGTGACATACTCAAAGTCCTCCCCACTGTTCAGTGTGTGAAGATTCATAGCAGTGAGTATTCAGCAGTCTAATCGCGTCATACAGGGCTCGAGCTGTTCCTCCCGAGCAAATGAACGAATCGGTTCGGTTAGCCTCCAGGTAGAGGTGTGCTGCGGGCCGCACACCCATTGCCCGGCCTTGATTTACGATGCAATTGGGCCAAGCGCGGTGGCAGCCAAGCCGGCCAAGAGGAGCCTCCCTCCCATCCACCCCCATGGTCACCACCACCACTACCACCCATTTGGCATCCCACCCCCCAGACGTCGGGAAATGAGATGGTGCTGATCAATCCCCACCCTCGAGGAGGCCGCACTTGGTATAGGCACCTGGGTTGTTGGCAGGCATACGAGGTCTGGACCGTCGAACGGGCTCCGTTTCTCTCTTTGGTTCATATTTCCTTCTCCTGGTCAGGGGATGTCACGTCCCCGCTGAGGAAGCGAGAGGAGACTGGAGAAGTTAGAAACTCTGGAAGAGAGAGAGATTCGAGACTCGAGAGAAAGAGCACTGTGTATTCATACGGGCTCACACTGATGCACGGTAGAGAGTGGGTATTGGGAGAGTGGACGAAAGAGGAAATGCATTCCCACATATCCAGGCGCAGTGGCAAGCTAAATTTAGAGCTTGGACCCGAGTAAGAGAACTCGCAACATATTCTGGAAACTGGTGACGGGAAGAGACGGCTTCGTGTTCGGTGTCGCGCCGTCGGACGCCGTTGTTCGGCAGGCTTGGGATGTGTTTGAACTCATTCGCTCACTGAAAGTTGTGCACGATTTCATACGGAGGCAAAAACTTCTGGAAACCCCGATCGTGTTACCTCCGTCTGGATACAAACGATCTCGACTCGTCAGCGGAGCGAATCCAGGTACGCGACGAATCATGAGGTTGCTGTACCTGGCGCTAGACGCAAGACGGGCAAACAGAGTTCAACGGCACAGGTTACCGACCGGATCAGGAAGACGGCGAGGAAAAAAATCTTGGAAGGGGGTGAGCTGAGAGTGGAGAACGCGCGTCCGTTGTTTATTCTGATTTATGCATGTTCATCCCATTCGTTCAGAAAAATATCTGATTTGTTTACTTTAGCACTGGTCAGATCAGATCAAATTAGACCAGACGAAAAGAAACAATAAAGAAAGAGACGAAGGATCGATTCGATGAAGACGAGAGAAAAACTTGGCTTTTCTCGCTAAAAGAGTCAATACTCAATAGTGTTGGAAAGGCGAGTGGCAGTGCATTACGGCGGCCACGGGCATGCCCTGACCTTGTTGGTGATCATCCAAGAATTCAAGATGCAGGGCCGGGTTTGCGTGCCTAGTGCATACTGTACGATTTGCCAGTTGCTAACTTGGTCTCTGCCAGCCAATATTGGTTTCCTCCCAGACTCTTAAATAGTCAATCTCGTTCGGGTATTTTTGGCAACTCTGTATTTCGGGGCGCGGCGGGACGAGACTTTTGACGTTTCTGCGGGCCTTGTTCTCGTGATGCAATTGCACTCCGTAGCATTGTTTATGCCGGATAGCGGCACGATGAACATTATACCACGTAAGGTGCTTCCTGGAGTTGTGATGACCAGCTGGTGAATAAGGACTTTGCGTCGTGTGTGCATTCCTCCAATGCCTCACTTGCGCATACTAACAGCGTTTCGACTTTTGCATGTTTTATGCCAAGACATTTCCCCTAATTTGTGCATTTGGCACGTTGTGAACCGGCTGCGGTTTGGCGGGCACATTGGCGGAAAGTATCCCCCATCCGTCGGGTCTCAGCCGCAACGGACCAACGGCTTTGTTCGTCAAC